TAGCTTCAGTCAAACTTGGAAGGGCTGGCAATTTGCCAAAGCATGGCCCCATTATTAATACTAAAATATGATTGCAAATATATATTGAATCATGAGGATCACCAGAGACCATATAATAGATTTTATAGGGTCTCTGGGATCACCAACTAATGTCTAAGTACAAAATCTGGTCTTACAAAATGTCCATGTAAATATGACTGTTCAGCTAAATAGTTAAAAAACATTAACAATCTTCACAAAATATAACTATTATCTTCTTAACTCATTGGTAATGTTGCAACAAGAGGAGATATTCAACAAAACATCTCAAGTCTCAAGTGGATGCTCTCTACCATAACAAACGTGCAACTGCATATTTGGTTCACATTGAAAACCACAGGTTATATACACTCAATGGATTACTTCAAGTTGTAAACAGAACTTCAGTCAAGATGTTGTTTTGGCCGTAACAACGCTGGTGTTCCATTGTGACATATGCGGGTCATATGCGACTGTTGTTGTAACAACTTAATGAGTGAGTTTAATTTACGTCGCTTTTAGCAATATTCCAGCAACATCATGTCAGGAGGCTCCAGAAATGGGCTTTACACATTGTACCCATGAGGGGAATCGAACCCAGGTCCTTGGCATGATGAGTGAATGCTTATAACAGCTTAGAAAATTGATAGATAGATGCCTTTATATTCAGTCATCACAAACTGTGTTAATACATCTCTAGTCTCAGATTCTGTCAAAAATATTTTGTTCAACTACAATACAAGACTTGAATAAATAAAGAGGTTGTATATCACACATCACTAAATCATATGCATGTAAATTAAAAGAATACAATAGATAATATGTCCAGAAAACAACAGCTAAAGACTTACATAATGAAATGCCTGTGAATCTTAGTACATAAAGTCATCCCTTGCTATGTATTATTAAATGAAATGTACCATATCCATGAAAGTTTATTTCCTTTTTAGTGCTATCGTCTGTCACGAAAGGTCTTGGGTGGGTTGGGTTGGGTGGGGGGAGGGAGGCAAATGTTGGCAATGCGCTTTTGAAAGTATGTATGATGTATTTGTCATGTTGGCCGTTGGCCTATTAAAGAAATAAACATATTACCATATATTTTTCACAGGAAGAGTTTTCTACTTTGATAGGGGTCATCCTAAAACTTGAATAAAATTACTTCAAGCAAAAAATCAACATGAAATGCACCTTCTGAAATGCAGTGTACATTGGCAGCATGATAAAAAAACATGGACCAGATTATAACTGACCTGGAAAAGAACTGGAACTGGAGTTCACCAATATTTAAAAAAAAATAATAATAGATAAACAAATTCCATGGACACCTGAAAAAAGCTTAAGTAGAAAAAACAATCTAAAACAAGCAATGCACAAGAATGAACTTACAGTTGTATACTGAGAAACAAATGTCACCCTTTGTGTACTATTACTTTAGTAATATCCAATGGCGTGGGGCACCAATAAAAGGCTTCTTACACTCTAGCTGAGTCAGTGAGGTTGGTCTCATCTACTAAATATTCCAGCCATCTGTAACCACGGGGAATCAAGAGGTGGTTGGGTAGCCTCGTGGTTAAAGTATTCGCTCATCACACTGAAGATTCAGATTCGATTCCCCACATGGGTACAATGTGTGAAGCCCATTTCTGGTGTCCCCTACCATGATATTGCTGGAATATTGCTAAAAGCAGCGTAAAACTAAACTCACTCACTCACAGGGAATCAAACCTGGGTCATCGGTGTGATGAGATAGCACTTTCCCACTGCGCTACCCTGCTGCCCCTTACATACTGTAACCTTGATGGGCACTGAACCTAGGTATGTAAGGTGACTCTGTAACTACCAGGCCATGTAAAACAACTAAAACAAGAAATCATAAAGGGAGCTGATGAACATGATCAAGTATTTAGACTTATGGAAATTTGCAGGGGACAACTTGTTCTGCTTTTGTTTCATTAGTTGAATTCATAATTTGCCAATGCCAAACACTGAGCAATTCATTATCTTCTTTCGTTTGACCTTATAATATAAGATTATGACCTAGTAATACATAAGATATGATTTTAACATAATTAAGATAAACCTAAAATTGTAATTTACAATGAGACGTTTTGAAGGATATTTTACATTAATCTTTTACGATACAAATTTGACAAACCATATATTTCAATTTTTTTAATTATAACAAAACAGTCTACCTCAGCTGGATCCTCTGGTAGGGTTAGTTAGACATATAAGTTATCCGTCTTGTATAATATACTACGTGTCTACAATAACTGAATACGATGTCACATCTGCGAAATCCAAATATATACAAAAACTCACGATTCTGTTAAACAGTGTTAGTGAGTGAATGAACTGATTTTTTTATGCTTTGTATAAAAGAACAGATAAATTCCCATTATGAAAATCTTAATCCACTAAACTGCAAGAAAACAATCTTTGCACAATGCATAACTTACAGTGTAAAACAACTTCGAAAGTGAAAACATTAATTAAATGCAACATTCAGAATATGCAACTGTTCCAAAACTGCAAAAATTTGGAAGCTTTTACTGTGAATGAGCGAGTGAGGTTAGTCTTATGCCACTTTGGGCAATATTCAAGCAATATCATGGCGGGGGACACCAGAAATGTACACATTGTGGTGAATCAAACCCAGGTTTTTTGGCATGACAAGCGAACACTTTAACCACTAGGCTACCCCACCGCCCCTACTATAAGCAGACAGATAAGTGAGTGAGTTGGAGTTTAAAGCTACAATATTCCTGGGTATCATCCTCTTGGCAGTGAGTCATGAACGTTTACCAGTTTCGTTGGCTGCAGAGAAGCACAACAACCTAACAGTCTTTAAGTGAATGAGCGAGTTTAGTGTTATGCCGCTTTTAGTAATATTCATGCAACATCACGACCCGGGACACCAGAAAAGGGCTTCACACATTGTCAGTCTAAGTAAACTAAGGCTCAGTATTATTCGTTACACTGCTATACTGAGTCTAACAAAACCTTGTAGAAGGTCGTGTCAACTAACCTTTTGGACTGACCAATCAGAACACAGCTTACCAAATCGTGAAAGTTAACATTCGCACATACCGTTTGAACCTATACCTACAAAAACTTTCCGCACGATCGCTTCCGAGTGATACACGCAATGAGTAAACAGTTGCTGACAATAGCATTTTTGTCAATATTCAAGGATGTCATCTTGCGAAAATATAAGCAAATAGTAATCATGTCATTAGAAATCCATAAGCGTATAGACTGCAGGTCAAATATATGTGTTTTATGCGGATTTTCGTTTGCTGATAGATCAGTGTCAGCGACCAGGGAAGAGAAAATTCAAAAACTGTTTTGTAAGTCCTGCCGAACCCTAACAAGTAGTTGTTGTCTGATTAGTTAAATCCGTTCGGCCATCTTGCATTTGATTGGACGGTCATGGGTCGCTCAAAGGTTAGCTGACACAACCTTCCACAAGGTTTTGTTAGACTCAGTATAGCAGTGTAACGAATAATACTGAGCCTAAGTTTACTTAGACTGCACACATTGTACCCATGTTGGGAATCGAACCAGGGTATTTGGCGTGATGAGCAATGCTTTAACTACTAGTTTACCCGCCTAAACGGTCTTAGCACCACTGAGGACAAATGTCAGAAATGCTACGGACGCTACTGAAAAGAATGGTCACAGAAACTGACCGATATTTACTATTAAAAAATATAATAAAAAAATTAAGAAAAATTATTATAAACTATTGTTAAAGTCAACTAACTACCTACAACATGTATAAGGCAATTTTACATGCCCACATATTTGTTTGGCATAAAAAACCCGTCAAGATCAAAACCAAAATATAATTTATAGCAATGACCCCATTAAAAATGTGATCAAAGAGTAAAATGACATAAAATTGTAAATATTTATCTTAGAATGGAAGATACTTGGGAAACATGCTCCTTGGGAAAGCGTCCAAGAGTTACCTCCCTTCTCATATTGATCTACCATATTACACAGGATAATATATTTGGCTGAAAGGAAATCAGGCTCACACTTGTCATATAACTGGTAGTTTGATCCATAAACCAAACATCCATCACTTGTTGTTGAGTGGGAGCCTTGTTTCACTATATGAGACAGACTAACACAGACAGCAGACTTCCTCATGATGTCCCTTGATACAGGCCTCAAACATGGTAAATCACATACCTCCTTGTTTCCAAGGAGCCCCATTCAAAACACAGTTAAACAGCCATTAAACACCAAAACCTTAGTAAGCATCCACCATTTCTTAAGCAACAGCCTTGTTTCAACACATAATTGTGTTTACACATGAACACTGCCTTTTTGTGGCTGTCACACCAAGCAGGCCGAAAACATGCCAAACCACTAACCTACTTATGTTGGGTTACGTTTTCCTTGGATAAATGTTAAGTTGGGTGTTAATTTTCTAAACCAAAAAACATTCCAAGGAGCCACATTCAAAATGAAAAAAAAAACATGAGCCAAAAATATTAAGGATGAATAATTTTCAAAATAGTTTGTTTTTGATGTAAATGCTATATCTCCATGATATTTCTGATCCCTAAAGTGTTTAGCGTGGGCTTCTGCTTCAGTTTTCAATCATATGAGTTAGGAATAATCATTAGAAGTGAAAACATTAAATCATAATCATTAGAAGTGACTAAGTCTTGTTCTGAAGATGATGCCGCCATATAGCTGGAATATTGCTAAGTGCGGCGTAAAACTAAACTCCCTCACTCACTCTAAAGATGAAACTTGAATTAAAACCTATACAGTATTGACCATGTTGGCTTGTTGGACATACATTATCCACACCAAGATGTAAAAACTTGAGGTAGACACACATACATACATACATACATACAAATATTTGTAAAGCGCTTTTTATCAATCTAATTGCTCAAAAGCACTATCTGAGTCCACTTTATCCATGTGCAGAGGTGAATAGGTGCGTCTTGAGTCCACTTTTAAAATTTGACAGTTCTGTTTCTGAACAAAGGATGGATGGTAAATTGTTCCAGAGGAAGGGTCCTGCTCTAGAGAAAGACCTGTCCCCATATGACTTAGTTCTAGTTTGTGGTATTTCAAGGAGAGACAAGGCCACTTCATTACTAATCACCGGTACAAACATATATAATTTGGTCACATCTGCTACCTCATCTACAGATACACTGCTGGTTAAGATGAGCCAATCAACATTTATCTAGCATAGATTGTGAAAAAATCTGCAATAAATACTGTTTATCAGTATTCATAAACCGTGGCAGTTTATAAATCAACAGGTTAATAGGTCACTTGGTGTACAGCATATATCTTCTACCCACAAACCAACTTTTATCATGTGGCTTTCTTCTTGTTGGTCTTTGAGGTTTTGTTCTTGATTTGCTTTTTGAAGAAATCCTTGTTTGACAGACACCTGTAGGCCAACAGCTGGGGTACGAAGAACAAGGCCAGGTTGATGAGCCAGAACACCAGTCGGGCGGAGGAGTTCTGTGGGACGCGATGGATGTACGGAGTCCGGTAGTGCAGTGATGCCCCGATGTAGGAGAACTGAGCCTGAAGGGAGCAAAGAGTGAGTGAGTTGGGTTTTACGCCACTTTTAGCAATATTCCAGCAATATCACAGCCGGCGACACCAAAATTGGGCTTCAGACATTGTAACCATGTGCAGAATCAAACCCGGGTCTTCAGCGTGATGAAGCGAACACGTAACCACTTAGCTACCCCACTGCCCTGAAGACAACAAAGAATATTCTAGGTTCCTGTTCCTGTCCACAAAGTCATCTTAGGACTATAGTTGTCGTAAAACTGTGCTCAGATATGCTGTAAGTCTATGTGGCAGTATGAGAGTAATGATCTTAGCACTAAGGTCACGGTAGTAAAAAAAACTTGCTAAATTCCAATATCAAGGGTAGATATCTCATGTACCTGTGCTGCTGCCCCAGCGTGTAACAGGGACCAGTCAGACATCCATGTTTCTCCTGGGTAGATGAGGCCGTAGATGGAGGCGCCATAGTAGGGCAGGAAGTAGAACAGGTACACAATCATCTAGACACAGAAAGTACACATAACAGCCGCAATCAAGTCAGGGAAGAATACATATATATACATGCACACACTAATGTCAGTAGGGTGAACATTAAAAGCTGGATTCCATCAAGAATAAGAAAGTAAAATCACTCATGCATCACTGCATCACAAGAGTCATATTTTCAGTTACAGCAGCAGGGAGAGTTGTGCCCCCTATATTACTACACTAAAGAATATTTTGACATAGGAAAGGGTAAATTAAAGGGTACACCTACAAAATACCGGATACCTACCAGCCATATTGTTTAGTGTCACGTCACACTAACGCCAACCGTAACTCTAAACCTTACCCTAACCCTAAACCTTACCCTAATCCTAAACCTTACCCTAACCCTAAGTAAACACGCATGCTTTCAAAGATGGTGGAAGGTATCCTGTATTCTGTAGTCTTACCAATTAAAGAAATAAAAATGACTAATGACAAACCATCAGCATAAAGACATTATGTTGCCGGGTTACAATTTATCGCATTGGCACTACATCAGCTATATACTGACCCTTTGAAATGTTGACAATGAGGTGCATCAGGTATTTTACTTCTCCATGGAATTCAATGTCTCATAACGAAGAGACATATCAAAGAGAATGCATCTATGGACATCTTGTTTGGGGATAAATATCTCCAAATGTTCAATGAGTGACTTGTCTTGAAACTCAAATTTAGACAACTATGGAAGTTACTTTTGTAAAATATATCAGACATGAACTGAAATAGAATTGCTTTTCTCTGTGAACAGCAGAACCACTAGTCTCTGTATGTGCACTGAAAGTGTAGTAATTGACCTAGAAGTAAAATGGTTCCTTTCCCTGTGGCCCCCATAATGACCTACAACAGAACATCATCATGATACAAGCATCATCATCAACATACCTGTACTCTGGGGTAGAGTGATGGATCAGACATGTATGGCTCGAACTTCTCCAAGTAGTACTTGCCTATTGTCACATTACCACCTGTGGCGGCCTGCAATAAAACAGAAAATCTTATTAAAATCTAAATATTTTAGATATTTAAATACTTACCTTACCATAGGTCTTATGCATATTACCTCAAGCTCCGCTTAAAGAGATCAGACAGTCGTTGATTCGCCATTCTATAGAACGGCCACCTCGTGTATCGACGAGTGTACAGGCAACGGAAGTGACGTGATCTCCCCTCCCGCGCAAGCGCGGTCCATCCAAAATCACTTTTACTGACCAGGTCCGAAGAGCCCAGAGAGGGGAGGAGCATCCAGCGTTGGGAGGGAGTTAGCGCCCTATGGTAAGGTAAGTATTTAAATATCTAAAATATTTAGATTTTAATAAATTTTTAACTTACCTTACCATAGGACTTATGCATATGGATTCGACAGTAGGGCCGGTGTGTCGGGCTCAGAGGACCGGGTCCCACGAAAACCCACATGCCAAGGGAAAACCAGAAGAAACTACTGAATAAGCCAGACTGTCGCAGGAGGCGCCTGGAACAGGAGACAGATAGTAACTAAAGGCAACCCTAAGGAAAACAAATACACCCAAAGTGTAAGTTAACCTGGAGACCAGAAGGTAAGAAGAAGTAGTTACCTAATGGGGTAGGGCGGGTGAGTTGCTGAGCAACCACCAGTGGACCAAGCGATTGAAGACCTTCCACGTCCCTCGGCGGCCAAATCCATGAGTAATGACTAAGCGAAGACAGTAGAGGACTTCCAAAAACAACCCTCCATGATGGCTGGAGCGGTGCAGTTTCTGTGGAGGGCCATGGTGGATGCCAGAGCCCTAATCTCATGCGGATTATTGGCTGTAGGATGAGAGGCAGATCTTGCGCGCATCGTGGCGGTCAGGATGGTAGCACGGAGCCAGAGCGCAAGCGTATTCTTATTAACTTCACCTTTGGCCACAGAAGACAACGGGATGAACAGTCTCTTACGAGACTGCCTCCTGGAAGATGACTTGGCAATATAAATCTTAAGTGCCCTCACGGGACAAAGCAGCTGTTCCTCAGCGTCGTGAGGTCCTAGAATGGAAGACAAAGGAGGGATGGAGAAGACCCTATCCGGTTGTCCCGGTTGTCTTGGCCACGAAATCCCAAAGCAGTCCGAGATGAACAAGACCATGCCGTGACTGCTCAAAACGCACCCTGGTGACATCCAATGCGTGGATCTCACTAACCCTAGCTGCTGTGGCCAGGGCCAAGAGAAAGGCTGTCTTCCTGGAGAGGTTCTCAAAAGAAGCAGTGTCCAAGGGCTCATAAGGGGGACCTCTCAGATGACGAAGAACGACGTTAAGGTCCCAAGCAGGAGGACGGAGCTTTGCCTTCTGGTCCTCCAGCTTAAACGCTTTGAGGACGGCGATGAGTTCTGGCACCTTGGAAACCTTTTTGTCGCACTTGACCGCCAGAACGGAGTTAAGAGCCGATAAATAAGTTCCTATAGTGTTGCCCTTGAGGCGCCCGGGACTTCGAAGAAAGAAGGAACTCTGCTATAAACTGAGGAGAAGCTTTCAGCGGGTCCTTGGACTTCTGTGCACAAAACTTCTCAAAAGAAACCCACTTATCATCATAGAGTGATCTTGTGGAGACTCGATGAGCACGAGCAATAACCTTGGCGACACCCGTGGAGAAGCCCTTGGCCTTCAGCGCTTTTGCAGATGATCCAACCCGCACAGATGAAACCGAGTCGGATCGGGGATGCCACTGTCGACTGTGTGGATGCCTGAGCAGGTGAGGCCAGTCTGGTAACTGTTGCGGACTTCTTTCGGGCGAGGCGGCGCAGATCTGGGAACCAGGTTCTGGCTGGCCACCAAAGCGCGACAAAAAGCAGAGGCGAATCGTCTCTATCCGCTTGACCTTTGCTATTACGCTGGCAACAGTACTGGTGGTGGAAAGGCATTACGCGTCCAGACCCTCCCACGACAAGGACATGGCGTCGACGCCCATGCCGCTGGATCTGGAATCGGAGACGCGCGTACAGCGGAAGCTGTGTGTTGAAGCGAAAGTCGCAAACAGGTCGATCAGAGGCGGCCGTGACTGTGACAAAGAAGTTTGAGCGCTTCTGGATGTAGCATCCACTCTGTTGGAAACGCGGTTTGCCCGGCCTTGAGAGAGCGTCTGCCAAAGCGTTCTTGCACCCTGGGATGTGTCGGGCTCTGGCTGATGCCATTGTCGTCCAGGAGACTGGCCAGCTGGAGCGTCTGCTCCAACAACTGTTTGGACCTGGTCGTTCCCTGATTGTGAATCAACCACACCACCGTAGAATTGTCCGGCGCTATCAGGAGCCTGGTGTTTCGCAACAGAGGCACCCAGTGTCGAACCGCTAAAATGACTGCTTGCAGCTCCAAGTTGTTGATGTGCCATCCTAGCTCGGTGCGGACCACAGCCCGAGGTGGTCACTGGTCGTTGAGGTGTGCACCCCAACCTTGAAGAGACGCATCTACAAACAGTTCGTGATCGTGAACAAACTCTGTCAAGGAGACTCCTGCGCAGATGTTCGACTTCGACAGTCCACCAGCGGAGGTAAAGCGTGGAGATGCAGGGGCAAAGGAACCTCAACTGAAGGTCGTCCGCCTGGATGTAAGGCAACAGGAAGCTGTAGCGGCCGAAGCATCAAAAGCGACCTCTGGCGTCAAGTCCTGGGCTGAGGTGAGGGAGACCTAAGAGGGACTGCCACTCCCTGAGCACGGCGGCTGGGATAGACCTCGGTTGGCGAAACTGACAATCTTTCTCCAGCGATCTAGCGGAATCCTGACAAAGGTCGCAATGTGTCAGGAAGAAGCCTCCTATAAATGTCAGTTCCTGGGGCGGCTCCAGGTGGGATTTGTCTATGTTGATAATCCATCCCAGTTGCTGCAAGAGATGAATGGCAAAGTGCATCTGTTTTGCGAAGCAACTGAGGGTCGAGGTGGTTCATGAGACAGTCGTCTATATAAGGGTGAAGTCGATGCCCCTGAGATGGAGGAACGGGTGATCGGGCGAGGTAATCCAGTAAAAGCTCTGGGGCCGTGGAAATTCCAAATGGAAGCACTTTCCACTGGTAGTGGGACCTGTTGAAAAAGAACCTCAGGTACTTTCTGTGACGGTGGTAAATGGGCACATGCAGGTAGGCATCCTGAAGGTCGAGGCTGGCCAACCAGACCCTGAAGCATAAGCTTGGCTCGTAGCTGTTCCAGGGACACCATGCGGAAGTGAGGCGGTTCCGAAAGATAAAGGTGGTTGAAAACTGCCATGTTGTGAATCATCGTAGTTTCCTGAGTCCTTCTTGGGAACCAGGAAGATTGGTGAGTAGAACCCGGGGACTGTCGGGGTCTAGCACTGTCCCTATAGGTTGTTTGCGTAACAGAGTGTGGATGCTGTCTGCTAGCAGTAACTGTTGGTCTGGAGCATACACACGTGACTGGGGCGTTGAAGTCAGAAGCGGCTACATGGCGATTGGCAGCTTGTAACCGGTCCTGAGAATGTTGGTGACAAGCGGGTCTTCCAGGATTGTCCAATTGGGCCAGAAGATCCCCAGTCTCCGCCTACTGGGGTAGGACGAACCGGCACGACTGGGGGCGGGGAGGTCCCAGTCGTGTTGGGTCGCAACTTCAGCGACCCGAAGTGGGCGGCGCCTCCCCTACCCCTGCCGGGCGTCGAAGGGGTCGGGGGGCGATCCTGCTGGCGGGCGCTGAAAAACAGGTTCGGATCTGCCACGCCACGTCCTCTGCCAGAGGCGTCGCGAGACGGAGTCTCTTTCGGGACGTAACGGCGCTTCCCTCTACCCTTGTAGATGATCTGCCACGAAAGGCCGAACTCAATGCTCGAGCGTGACAAAGAAACCTCCGTATTGGTAAGCTCTGCGTGTTCCTTATACACCTCGGAATGCCGTCATTAAAGAGGAAGCGAGAGGCATAAAGGGGCTCTTAACAGTTTCCTTTTAAACTCTTCCTGCCAAGAACAGGGCTCCAGGAAACCCATCCGCCGAACAACAGTTGTCATGGCCAAAGCCGCCCGGAGGTGCGCCAGCAAATCATGCAACACCTTACCCTGCCATTGAAACAGGGTGGTAAGATGTTCTAACCTTGACGTGTTGTCTTCCGTCAAATCCCAAGCTGCAGCCGAAGTTGCAGAGGCCAACGCTGATACAGGCTTCAACATCCGCTTGAGTTCTGCATCAATGGCCAACATCTTGGAGTCCTGCACTCGGTAAGATGACTGTGGGGAACCCGATAAGCGCTTGAGGGATTCATCATGAGCCGCGCCTCCATCAGCGAAATCCAAACTATGTATCTTGTAGTCCCCTTTGCGTGACTTAGGAGCCTTAATAGTGGTATTGAGAGACAAAGTAGCAAAATCAGCGTCCAAAGAAGCCACAGCATCGGCCACCATCGGGTGAGGCGGGAGGAGTAACTCCGGAGAAGACCGAATAGCCTTCGGGTCGGCCGAACCTGAAGAGGGAGAAGGACAATCCGGCAGTCTGTCGGCAATCCAGTCGAACACAGCAGAGAGAGGGAGGTAGGTGTCCCCATCATCATCATCCTCTTGCAACATTTCCTCATTATAATCGGGAGAAAAATAGCGCTCCTCAGTGTCCTCCCAGGACACGGTAGGAGCAGTAAATCGTTGACCCGAAGCAGCAGGCTTCGGTGGGCGCACCGATGACAACTGAGAAGCAGCACTCAAAGTAACTGTCGGGAACGTGGACGCCGCGGCGGCAGCGCGAACAGGAGGTGACCTTAAAGCGGGACGACGGTATCGCCTCCCATGCATCGGTGATCGTGAGCCTCTCCTATCCTTGGAACGTCACGCGGAGAGCGAGACCTTGAGTCAGACCGGCGACGGCGGCGGAAGTATCCGAACTAAGGCGAGGACTCCTAGACCCGATGATGCTGCCGAGGAGACCTAGAGCGAGATCGTCGAGAACGATGGGAACGCTTCGGCGTCCTGGCGCCGGAACGCTCTTCCATTAACTGGCGTTGTAGGTCCTCCTCTCTAGACACTGTAGCCTTCCTGGGGATACGGTAGTCTGCCAAAGCGTCGAGTTGGCGCTTGCGCTGGCGTGGCAGGCGTCAGCGTCAGCATGCGCCGGCGGCGTCGGCATAGGTGTCGGCATAGGCATAGGCGCCGGCGTCCGCATGGGCGTCGGCGTAGGCATCGACGTTGGTTGAAGCAACAAGCCAGCAACGGGAGAATCAAGTGCCACAGGCGTCGGCGCAGGGACAAAGCTAGGCAACGGCGCTGGAACGGTGCTAGCTTGGGCTCCGCAGCTGCCCGGCAAAGGCGTCGAAGCAACTTCTGAACCTCGGATGCGACAAAGCGTCCGGGTGGGATAGGTCAACAAAGGCGTCAGGCGGGCGCTTTGGCTTCAGGCGTAAAGCAAAGCGAGGCGCATGGGTGGACGGCTGATCTATCACAGGAGAAGAAGCGTCCGACCGGGCGTCACGAGGGGAGAAGACGGGGAGTCCACAGAAGAAACAGGGGAAGACATTTTCCTCTTCCGTTGTGACAAGCGTTTCTTCTTAGAGCTGAGGTAGGCCTTGAAATCTGCGACGGACAGCGGAGTACAAAAGTGACAGAGCTTCGTCAATGGAACAGGCCTTGAAATCTCGGACAGCGGAGTACAAAAGTGGGTGTGGGTCCGTCAATGGAACAGGCAACAGTTCACAGTCTGGGCACCAGGGGCAGATGCAACAAAACTGCCGGGTCATGCACACAAAAAGCTGTAACACACAAATGTGAAACGTAAAAACCTAGAAACATAACCCCTTTCCGACAAAAAAATGGAAGCACCCCTACAACAAGAATGGGCACGCCCAAGTAAGTGGGATAGTCGTGTAAACAACCAAGATGGCTGCCCCCACACTGAGCCGAAAAAAGCGTGAAAACACACACAAATTAGGCAAGAAATAAGAAGGTACACATAAACAAGCATGAAACAGAAGGTGGAAGAACCCTAGAGGTATCAAAACACCCAAACATGCCACGTGGAAAAATCTCGGAACGTGGGGACACACCCCAAACCGAAGTGAAAAAACGAAAAACAACATAAACACGAGGCAGCCAGGTAAGTGAAGTTACTTGTAAATTATGTTCTTCACCCACAGAGAAGAGACATAAGATAGAAAAACATACATACCAATAACTTTAATATCTGAAATCTATTAGTAAGTGTCTGAAAACTTAGCGAAACAAAAACGTCTGACAAGCAAGACGCTTGAAGTAAAAGTGATTTTGGATGGACCGCGCTTGTGCGGGAGGGGAGATCACGTCACTTCCGTTGCCTGTACACTCGTCGATACACGAGGTGGCCGTTCTATAGAATGGCGAATCAACGACTGTCTGATCTCTTTAAGCGGAGCTTGAGGTAATATGCATAAGACCTATGGTAAGGTAAGTTAAAAATTACAGTATATTTTGGTGTATAAAGAACACATGCCCATATTACCTACACGTGTTATGTGTTTAGAATTCCCTTTAAGCATCATCAGTCTCCTGCACTCAGCAATATTCCAACTATATGGCGTCAGTCTGTAAATAATCGAGTCTGGACCAAACAGTTTAGTGAGTAACAGCATGAGCACTGATCTATGCAATTGGGATACGATCAAAAGCCTGACCACACCTTTGTCGGCATGTACTATAAGCATGGTTACAGAAGACCATGATCTTCACGCGTCAGTACTTACAATGAACCTGATGATGGCCAGCACTGATGCTCCTGTGAGGTAGAGGATGAGGAAGATGTCAACTGGTCGGCGCCAGATGCTGGGCGGATGTGGTCTGTTGCTGGTCTCCTGCAAGAACACACACCTGTTACTGCTGGCTAAACTACCGCAAAATTCTGTTGCATTGCCTAATTAGCTTCCGTAGTGACGTGGCTGTTAAATTGGCTGTTTCAGTCTAAGGCAGCTACTGTGATTTGACACCTCTGATTGACCTATTGGAATCAAATAATTTCCAGTCATAGTTGTAAATGCAATATTTATAGAAAGAAAGAACTTCTTTCTCAGCCATTGTCAGTAAACATTTTCAAAATAGTATATGTGCAATTATTGGCTGCAAAATTATGAGTAACACAGAAAACACAAGATCAGTGAAGTGTGGGTTCCTGAAGACACATTCTAACCAAGATTGTCACCTCTACAGAACGAGTATATCTCCATGTTCTTGCCCCTCACCTCCTGTGGCCTTCCCCTAAGGAACTTGGCTGCAGCTATCACTGGGATGATGAGATATGGTAAGTTCAGCAGACACGGCCATCGGATGCCGTGCTCCCCTGTAACAGCGAGGCAAGAACTATCACTAGGAACATACAGATAAGCAATAAAACTATTTTGCTATCAGACACCATGTGTCCCACAATTCCAATACGACTTTTATAATTCATTATTGAAAACTGGACTGCAGTAGAACAGCTCAAGGGAGGGTTGTGAATATAAATCTAAAGCACAGATGACTGAAATACTGTTGAGGTGAGTAACTTGAAAAATGATATTACAGTTCACTGAAAACTACTACAGTGAAATATGCGTACAACGAACATGCTAATAACACACTGATCAATGCAACAAAACAGTTTACTTATTCTCACAACTGGGGAACTATGGTTATATTAGTGGTTCCTTTGAATTCATTATAACAGCGACCCATGAAGGTCTGAGCTAGAATGAACCTTCAGTAACCCATGCTTGTTGTAAGAGGCAACTAACGGGATCGGGTGGTCAGGCTCGCTGGCTTGGTTGACACATGTCATCGGTTCCCAATTGAGCAGATCGATACTCATGCTGTTGATAACTGGATTGTCTGGTCCAGACTCACTTATTTACAGAATGCCGCCATATAGCTGGAATATTGCTGAATGCGCCATAAAACTGAACTCACTCACACATTATAACAGCAATATGCTGTATTTGAATGTGTTTGAGTTAATTAATACAGCAGGACACCATGAGGCTTGCTGAGATCCCCTACCCATCAGGATGCCAGGCATGAAGACGAACATGCTGTGTCCGATCGACCCCGCCCAGTATAGGCCCACCTCCCTGTAGCTCTGGCTGAAACAGTGAAGTAGCATGGATGAAACTTGGCTGCAGCGTACATGAACACAGGCTTGGGAGACTACTATCATTGTACAGTGTGCCTGGTGCAATCACATCTCTCTGTGTATATTTAATCATAGTATTTTTTGAGAAACGAATCCTACCCCCGACAACCGATTCACTGTGATAGTCTGTACATGCAGTTCTCTACAGTATGATACTCAGTCACTGATCCCCATTGTGCTAGGGCACGGTGGGGGAGCCTAGTGGTTAAAGTGCTCGCTCGTCACAACGAAAACCTGGGTTCAATTCCCCACATGGGTACAGTGTGTGAAGCCCATTCCTGGTGTCCCCTGCCGTGATATTGCTGGAATATTGCCAAAAGTGGCATGAAACCATACTCACTCACTCCCCATTGTGCTATGCAGCTACAATGATACAACTTACAAGGAGATGAACTCAAAGCAACCTGATCCCAAGGTTTACAAACCATGAATGCCATAATGCTGAAAATACCCCTCCCCAAGCTAGCCCATTGAAGTTTCTATTTCTATCTGTTATTTAACTAATTGGAACTGTGAGAATGTTTAGTTGGGTGCTTATCTGTGAGTCTGCAGTCTTGAAACAATCTGGGTAATAGAAACAAAAATAAATCTGGGAAATGATAAGCCAGACTCAAAGAAAGTCCTAATTCACAAGTCCCAAAGACATGCATACAAGGAGGAAAGATTTCAAAATTCTTGCAATGGTCACCGGTGGCTGTGATGATAATGAAGGAATCATATGCTGAGAAGGACGTTGATCAACTGATATGGAAGGGAGGTAACTGTTCAGGGTTAGAACTAAACCTAAAAGTAATCTTCAACTATCACTAGCGAGGCTATAATTTATCAGATAGTTACCTATGCTCTATCGGGGCCAGTTGTAATGAACAGAAGGTGTGGAAATGGATATCTAAAATTGTCAGTTTTGCACGTTCTTTCCAACCTAGCAGTATAGCGAGGGACCACTTTCATGTTTTGAACAAAGTGACACGATGAACGTAGATGTTATCTTGGAGTTGAAAAGGGATGATCTCATTTGCAGTATTTGATGAATAATCATTGAAGAAAACTAGTAGTCTGCCGGACTAGTGCAAGTTTGTTTCCATTCGCCCGACTAAATTTTTACTCGCCCCGGGCTTGCAGGTGAGTGTAAAGATCGAACCCTGCTGTTACAGCTTAAAAACACAAGAAACAACAATTACTGAGAGTCATTTTACGCTAATTCTTGGCAATATTCAAAACCAAGGTGGGGGACAACAGAAAAGTGACTGAGTGAGTTTAGTTTTATGCCACTTTTTGCAATATTTCAGCAATATCACAGCGGGGGACACCAGAAATGGGCTTCACACATTGTACCCATGTGAAAAATGAAACACAGGTCTTCAGCATGACGAGCGAATGCCTTCACCACTACGTTACCCTGACAACAGGAAAGAGTTTTGTTTGAAAACTCATTGCTTCAAAACCAAAGAGTTACTCATTGCTCCTACAAAAGACTAGAATGTCATAAATAAGTTAAATGGGTTGATAAAAATCACCTATGTCATTTAAAGTCTTTGACCAAAAATGTTCATAAAAATGTTTCTTTGTTACCCATGTTTACAGTTCATTTTGCTTGTGTAGTGACATTTAGTATAAAGTCACAATGGCCATTATTTTACATGTGCATCTTATTTAAACCATATGTGCTCTGATATAAACAACCCTGAAACCTGCCAAGTGATGAAACTATAATGTTATATGCTCTGAGCCTCACCCCCAGGACTGCGCTGCCAATATGGTGAGGTACATGGCGTAGTGAGCAACGCCATCCCAGTAGGAGATCATTGTCCCATAGGCAGTCTTCAGATACGGCTCCCCATCCTTCAGGTAGAAGGCCATAAAATCAGCGATGATGCCATCATTCTCAAGCGCAATGACAAGATCGATCACAGAACTGAATGTGAAGATGCTGAGGACTGCAACAGACATACAGATTCATGCTGTAAACATACAAAAGATTTAAACAAACTTGGTGTCAGGTGACATACAGATATGTGCTGTCACATAAACAGGATTCAAACCAACTTGGTGACATACGGATACATGCTATTACATACAAAAAATGTAAATAAACATGTTATAGTTTTTTTATGCTAACTGACAATGTACAAGCATCATGTAATACAGAACAGGCTTTTCTTACTTCCTGATGTAGGCAGGATGACGACAAACACAAAGGCTGAAAAGTTAATGCTTTGGCTGTCAGTTTAAACTATGTATCTTGAGGTCGTCATTATGAATCAACAAAAAAATTCATAAAAGAGCTAACGAGGCAAGGATTAATTAATACAGCCAGTAAGCCTGCAAGCTGATTGAGTATAACCATGATTACCATCAGGTAGAATATATGTGATCATGGTGACAGCTTCATTAATTGTGGTGAGACTTGTGTTGTACTAGTATGTCAAGAGTATGGCTATTAACTGTGGCAAGTCAAGTATCCCTAATTTAACATTAATTATATCATTATTAACATAGCAAATTATCTACTTTTTGCAGATGTGCAAATGGTCATTGTTTAACTGTGGATTTACTGAGGGTAGGCTTGGCGTGAAATTAAGCGTGGAATTTTGGAGGACGTCTCCCATAACAAGATCATTCCTCTGAATTTTCATATCAGCATTTCAAATTGACAGTGCAAATATTCATTGTGAGGCTTTCAACACTTTGAATACAATATTTGCACAAACAATGTTACAATCTATCCAATCCAATGTACCCAGAACAAAGTAAACATTCAGAAATTTACTGTTACCCTAAACAGCAGGAAAAGTCCATATTCCTCAACACCAAACCGATTCTAATGTTGTTGTTCCGTTTGCCTGATTATGAGTGACACTGTGAATCATGAAATATTTGCCACTGTCATATTCTCATCTCATATGACAGTTCCGATCAAGTACATGTGGAAAGCGGAATGGACTCGGTCTAAGATTTGTTTCTGTAGTTTGTTTCATGTGTATCAGTTGAAATTGATGTGGAACACTTATCAAATTAAAATTGCCCCAAACACAGTAAGTAACAGGGTGTCAGTGCAATTTACTAAACAATTAATTATAAGTCTTTTGCAAACCACTCACATCACATACAGTACAACCAGAAATTATTGAGAATTTAAGATTGTAATTTTTTATATTTTTTCACTCATTACTCACATATTAAATGTGAATATTAGCAGAACATAACTCCAGATTCAAAGACAGGTGAACAGTTAGTATTTTGTCAAGTAACCATGGGCAGCAATGCAGGCTTCAATGCGGTGGGGCATACTACTGCTCAAAGAAGTTAGAAAGTCGTGGTCCATGCAGTGTTCACGAATAGCGTCTGACCCTCTGACAAATCCGGCAGATTCGCCAACGGTCAGACAGAAGTCTACAACCTGCCGGCCCCAGTGTCTGACTGTATATTTCACAATGACTTTGACTGAAGTTGTTAGATGTGACATGTGACACTTGTTTGCTGTTTATAAATCTTATGTTTGTTAATAATTTCAATGTCAATTATAAGAAATATTAAATCTGAAATGTGTTTAATTTAATTCCATGGGTCCTGTACATTTTCAATGGGTCAGACAGACATCTGAAACTTACAGGACCCAATGTCCTGTGACTTTGAAACACCATTCGTGAACACTGCCATGCTGTCCCAATATCGGACCACTTCTTCTTTCATTTCAGCAATATTTGTCAGATTTTTCTTATTGACACTTTCCTTCATAAGTCCCCAAACATTTTCTATTGGATTTAGGTCAGGGCTACAGCTTGGCCAATCTAATGATGTCTTTGTTTGGGTCCGAAACCAGGCCCTTCAAATACACAGAGGGGCGTTTCCCCTAACACAGATATGCCGCCCCACACGTTAAATTTCGGACTGTACATTGGGCGCTGATACAAAGGTTTTTCAGTTTGTTTGGTCCAGAATTTCAGTGTATTAGGAAACAGCCACACAGAACTTTCATCTGTGAAAATCACATTGTCCCAGTTAAAATTTCTATGCTGTAAACACCAGTTCAAATTTCGCTCCTTTTGTTCAGGTTTCATGATCGGTGATGGAATTCCTCAACTTTTCTGCCAACCCATTGCATGCAGCTCAGTTCTAATTGTCTCCTTACAGACAGCCACAGTTCCTCTATCAATCATATCCAGCCTTAAGTTTTCTAAACTCCTACGTTTGTTTTTTAGAAACAAAGAATACCAAGCCGCCTCCTGTCACCGACAGTCAATTTTCTGGGCCTACCTGCACCTCCCTGGTGCTCAATGCCATATCCATTTGCAATATTTTTCAAAACACGATAAACAGTGGACAAAGGGATGCCTATTCTACTTGAAATCACTTTAGCTGATCTGATGTCCTTGTTATAATACTCTAAAATCAACTTCCTCTTCTCTAAATCATCCATACTGAGGATCACTGAAAATGTCGTCTGCTAGCAAGTAAACAAAAGGTGATAACTCTTCACAAACTAATGAAAAAGGATTAACGGAGTTGTCTCTCTTGAATGAAACCACGCACTTGATAGCTGGTCAAGGTTGTTTATACTAGAAATCCAACTAAACATATTCCTAGAATTCTCAATAATTTCTGGTCATACTATACATAAACCTTTACTCGGTGTAAAATCCTTTTAAATACAATGTCCTTAAAAACGTCATGCAACCTTACCATAGAAAAAGGAATCGGTTTTCTGTGGCCGATACTTGACAGTGAGGTATGGGATAAGCGTCACGAATATCAAAACCAGAACTCCACAAAGAAGTATGAGTCTGGGGTCGGTCATGGAAGACACCTTGTTCAGCACGTACGAAATTGGGATTGCTGTTAACGAGGAAAAGAAAACAGCAGTCGGGCCAGAGACACCCATTTTGAAGTTTTCTGCAAAAGACAAGCTTCAGGTGGTAGTTGCAGTCAGGTGATTTGATGAAAAATAGGTGACTGTCCAGAAAGGCGATCAGATATCGCAGTGACAGCGATAAATGCCTTAACAACACGAGTGTGTAGTGTTTTTGATAAGAGAGTCCCGGAAGTAACATTAAAAGCGAAGTTTATCTCCCCTGGATGCGTTTCACGCGAGTGCTTTCTTTTAAGCTGGGCCCCGTCTCTGATATTGCAATAAACCACATTGTTGCGCGCAATGGGATCCAGAAACCAGTTTAATATGAAAACGTTCTCAACTTTTAAATGGCTTTTTCATTTATGTGCGCAACCGACCATGTTATTTTCGTTGAATTCCGTATAGACAGGGGCCTGGTCACGTTTGATCTCGCTACAAGTACTAGTTCCTGTTTATCCAAGGACATCAGCACACGCATGTTTTTTTTAAACAGCGCATAAGATTTGGCATGGTTTATTACAAAATTTGGTAACTATATCCATAAAATATATAGAGGAGGGTTTGCATGAAAGTAATTAAACCATCTTACATGTTCTATAAACAGAGAATTATGTTAGTGTGAGATAAACACTAACGAATTGTTGTTCATTACACATGTAATGATAAAAGATCTGAAAAATCCTATCATTCCGTTGAGATTCGTTTGTTCTGGACCTGTTGCGCACTTCCTTTACTTGAGACATATATCTGTGGTTGTTGATTAATCACTATATCTAAATGATGTTGGGAATAAAATTTGCTTACTTTCTCATATTGACCAGGCCCTGCTGATTCAACTTGATACGAGTTCAGATTTGTCTTAAGTAGTTTCAATTTTAGGAATTATTCAAATTACTGTAGTCACTGCATTTTGAGAAATTGTGTACAGAACCGTAACCTAAATCCATGGATAACCTTGAATCGTGGATTGTGGTAATTATCATGCTGTCTCGTAAATTAAGTCTTGTATGACATCACTAAGCTATACTTTTGATGTACACATTTTGCCACGCCTTGCTGGCAAAAATGTTCGAATCTCTGCATAACATGTAAATACACGAAATCTAATTGTCCAGCACTGAGATAAATAGCCCAAGATCACTAATGCTACGAATACCAAATTTTGGTTTTTTCAAAATGTCAAGTCAAAAAGGTACCATTAGCACCAACCTTCTCTCATCTCGTCATCTGCTTTCCCAGTTGGCAATGCGTACTGCAATGGGCTGTCGTACATAGTCATGTATAGTAACCGACTATGTAATCCACTAGACAAGGTGACGTCACATTTTGAGTGCACACAAATGGGTGATGATTGCAAATGGCTTCGGTAAACAAACGTTTCATGCACGAGTGGAATATTAGGCATTTTCAATTTGCTGAATCAATGAATAAAATAATCAGTGTGTATATAAAATGAAATGCTTTTAAAATAGGATTTTCACCGCACTTCCCTTATATCCATGAATCAGGGTTACGCGAGTGTACTGACCATTTCAAGGAAACTAGTTCAGCCCCATATACCCTATATCACAGGCTACTTTGGGATCTCATCAAAGCTTTTACTCTTATATCATTTATCTCTCCACTGATCATTTTGCAACAAGTAAGAATGCAGTGGAGCCAAATTGTTATAGACCCACTTGTTCATACCATGCTACCCATGAAGATCCGGGTTAGAATTGATCTTCAGTAGCCCATGCTTGTCATAAGTGGCAACTAACGGGATCGAGTGGTCAGGTTTGCAGACTTGGTTGACACATGTCATCGTATCCTAGTTGAGTAGATCGATGCTCATGCTGTTGATCACTGGATTGTCTGGTCCAGACTTGATTATTTACTGATATACCTGAAATACTGCAGAGTGCGTCATAAAACTAAACTCACTCACTCATTCATGGTATTTCATTGCCTTGGGATTGAAACCACTGACCTGCTCTCGAGACAGACACTGTCCACTAAATGTTGTTTAAGCTGTATGTATGTGGAATGTGAAATTCAGATGTGTTTTCATCTTGCAGGAAGTGATCATAAGGGACGACAGCAGCAGGGAATCTCTCATAATGAGGCTCACCGTGGTTGCATGCAATTATTTCAAGAAGTATGTACAGCGAGAGATTGCCAAAGCATCAGGTGTGACAGTTAGAAAGCCTTTCCAAGGTTTTCGAGACATTCGAAAAAAGAAATGGTATTATGATGAGAACCGGCCATGGACAGCAGCAGCCAGAGAAACTAACATGTCAATCAAACGTCCTACACATGTTGTAGTAGAGCCCATATCAAAAGGGAATTGGAAACTATTCAAAGGAGACAGGGTTAGTAAAAATATTACTTTTTTATGTGTCAAGTTTTCATATACCCCATCTGGTTCCTACTCTGAGATAAAACTGATCTTCTGTAGTCTTACTTGTAAAAGGCAACTAAATGGTTTGGGTGGTTGGGAATAGTGACCTGGTTGATTGGTTGTCAACACGTCCTCGCTGCTTGGAAGTTGCTCATGAGGTCGACCACTGGTTTACCTGCTCCAGGCCACCATGACACAGCTGAAGTATTGCTGACTGAGGTGTTTGGTAAGAAATAAGCATTCTTTGCCATTATTATGGTGAAAACGACGGGAAAATCCACCCAACATTTGAGATAATGTCTCGGCTTGTCATCACTTCAAGATTCTGAATTGACCATAAGATTCAAAGTGTGTATATGTAAATTTCAATTACAGGAAGCTGGATATAAGTGCACTGAATGTTGCATGTGGAATAAAACCACAAACAGGATATGACTAGTTAAAACCACAGGGGTTCGAATCACTGTTTGGACGACAATTTAAAAAAAATAAAAATCTACATTTTTGCAACCGTATTTCGTTTGTATATGTTATGCGGGTTTGAAGCCCCACATGGGTATTATGTGTGAAGCCCTTTTCTGGTGTCCCCCGCCGTGATGTTGCTGGAATATTGCTAAAAGCGGCGTAAAACCAAACTCAGTCAGTCAGTCAGTTGTATATGTTATGAGTAACTTATATTTCAATTTTGAACAAAATCGGTGAAGAAATTGATTTTTTAGAAAATACTCATTACATAAAATACACAAGGGATGACACTCGCGATGCTAAAAGCCTGATCGAAAACCGAACAGCCCGACTATTTTAACCTGCGTTCAATCAAACCTTACGTTTTTCACTAAACAATGTGTTGAGCTTGTAGATTATTCTTTTGGCCTTCTGCTCATCGTATTCAGTTTGGCTAACTGCATTTCATATTTGACCACTGACCCACACATTAGCACTACCCTCCATTTTGAACAAACTTCTGGCCGCCCTTCGGTAAACATCGACACTGTTCAAAAATCTCGGAATGACTCTGAACACAAAACGGCTCTCATTGGTCAATTTCCATGTGTGCGATTATTGCGGAATATTGTTTTGACAGTTGATATGTTTGGAAAACTCGAACATGGTTTTATAAATTCTTTCATGGTGAGTAAAATTATTTTAGGTGTTAAATGGAAAAAATAGTGCACATAGTGCATACAGCATGCAAATCTAACAGCATTATAAAAATATCAAGCATGCAAAGCAGAAAATATTTAACTTCTGTAAATTCATGGATTGTTTTTAGATTATAAATGTCATTTGATAGGTCAACAACATTTTCAAAATTAGTAAAACAATCAAATACATTTTTTGTAATCTATCAATGCATTTCATTGTCTATTATGATAGATTACACAATTACCATATCAAAACTGAATCTTTACTTACATATTTATTTCCCATTTCTCTAAAACTCTTAATTTGTCATGAATATTTCATAACTCCAACAGTTCTTAATATTGCTAGTATTGTTGTACATGAGATGACAAATGATGGTGGAAAAAGAGTTTATCCACACACAAATAATTGCATTTGTGATTGCAAACAATTGTGAAATATTATCATGAATTCCTTAAGGTGAAACAAATTTATCCAAATTTCTGGAACATTTTAACAAACATAAAATTAAACTACATTTGTATTAAATGCATTCACAATCAGATGTAGTTTACAGTTAATTCATACACAAAATCAATTTGTTAGAGTAACCTCCGAACATTGATGTCTTTTTTTTTATATTTAAGTTTTGTGTTTACAATAACAAATATTTTCAATATACACATTTTTGGGTTACCTCTGTCATTATGTGTGGCTGATGTTTGTGATGAAATCCTTATGCAATGCTAATTATGCCATTGTGAAATTTTAAACACTTTAAGTATTATACATTCATACTTCGTGAGCCCAATTCTGACTTTAGGTTTTTTGGTACGCACACAATTTATATGGAGGAAATAAGCTTGATAATAATAAAAAAATAACGGAGAATTACATGTGAAACGATGGAGTGTAACCCCATCGATATTAGTGGCTGCCAACCCAGTTGTCGCCGTAGTCCTCACTCATTTTCGTTTCCTCAATGATTCCCCTCTGACCTGGTGCAGTAATGTGGTCTTGCCTGTGCCCTGTCTGCCATGTTTGTTTGTTGTTTTCCCCACACACGTGGAAATTGACCAATGAGCGCCGTTTTGTGTTCCGAGTCATTCCGAGATTTTTGGACAGTGTCGATGTTTACCGAAGGGCAGCCAGACGTTTGTTCAAAACGAAGGGTAGTGCTAATGCGAGGGTCAGTGGTTAAATACGAAATGCAGTTAGCCAAACTGAATACGATGAGCAGAAGGCCAAAAGAATAATCTACAAGCTTAACACAATGTTTTGTGAAAAACGTAAGGTTTGATTGAACGCACATTAAAATAGTTGGGCTGTTCGGTTTTCGATCAGGCTTTTAGCATCGCGAGTGTCACCCCTTGTGTATTTTATGTAATGAGTGTAGCGGGAGAATTTTCTAAAAAATCCATTTCTTCACCGATTTCGTTCAAAATTGAAATAAAAGTTACTCATAACATATACAAATGATATTCGGTTGCAGAAATCTAGATTTGTGTTTTAAAAACTTATTGTCCAAACAGTGATTCGAACCCCTGTAGTTAAAACAAGCTCTCATGAGCATATTCTGATTTTGCCTGGCCTCAGATCTATGGTAGAGTTCAGCTGGGATCCCATTTGTGTTCACTTATGGAACTTTGTGTACCTTCTACTAGGGTTTGTTAGACTCAATATAAGCAGTGTAACGAATAATACTGAGCCTAAGTTTACTGAGACAGTGTACAAGGTATACATGCACAAAAGTGTGTGTTCAGACATGTATCATTTCTGCAAGAGAGGATAGAGTGCAAGAAGACACAATGATCCCTCCCCTCCTTGACCTTCACCTTCAGCATCCGTTTCTGTCAACCGCATCACTCACTAACTCACATAAGCACTAACACTATTAACATGATGTTGGACAGATGCATGTCTCACACTTAATCATCTCTTTCCAATGTAAAGTAACGATTTTATTTTCTCAAACAGAGTTTACTTCATTATTGTAACCATGGTAACAAGGAACATATTGATTTATTTGAATCGAATTGGTTGAACTTGACGGGATGCCCAAATGTTATGTGTTCTGTTATTCATAGGAAAGAACATGCACACTGCACACAAAAGAATTATTGTACAAGTCTTTACTGTTGGAGGATATTTACAGGTTCTTTTGTGATACCACCACAAACTGACAGAAGTTTGATGTAACTATGGTAACTCCTGCCAAGCCAATATCATGATTAGTTGCACTTCGTGACCAGTGAAAATCCACGTTAGAATAAATTATTGGTCTTCAGCGACCCATGCTTGTCATAAGTGGTGACTAACTAGGAGTGACTATCGAGGGGGAAACAACTATTGCGATAGCCATAGTCTATTGTGACCAACTATTGCAATACTATTGCAGTAGTTTTTCTCTCCTTGAATTGTCTCATTGGAAGTCATTTCCCAAGTGAATATATAGTTTATATGAAATAAGAACAAGCTGAAGTAGTTTCAGTCTCTTTTAAGAACTGACAAGAAACTTGAGTCCCACATCAAATTTTTTAAAGAGGTAACAGGGGTGGATAACTCTAAATCAAAGTGAACAAATCTGGCACTTCCTGTATTTTGTGCTGCACATTTATCAACGTAACTCTATTTCTAAACTATCGATAGTCATACATACTGTTGATGCATCGACAGTTTGTCGTTTCTACCATCGATTAATTGCTATTGGAGACTCAACAATTGCAATCCATCGATAGTTTGATGCATCTTCACAGCCCTATGACTAACCGGAATGGGTGGTAACACTCGCTGACTTGGTTGCCACAGGTCATTGTATCCCAAATGCGTAGATCGATGCTCATGCTGTTGATCACCGGATTATCGATTATTTATAGATCGCCGCCATATAGCTGGAATATTGCTCTGTGCTGGGTTAAACAACAACCAAACATTTCCAGTCAGTATGTAACTACATTACACTACATGCAATGTTATTGATCTTGGATTAAATATTTTTACACTAAGGAGGAGTGATTTTGAAGAATTCTACCAAATGTGAATGCATTTACTTTTAATGTGTTCAAGTAGTGTCCAAAGCTTTTGTTCATCACTGGTTTATAAATCTGGTACCAAAGATGTAATGCTGTCTGAAACTATCGATGAATTGCAGTTGTTTGCCTTATGGTTGTACTATATTGTTAGGAATGAATTAATGCTAATAGTGTTGTTGATAGTTGCAATAACTGCATTTAATGCATCCTCATTAAAATCAGACCTTTGTTCTCTCTACTGTGAAACAATGATCCGAAGATATCCCATGACTGTTCTGACCGCCTCTGTGGTGTAGTGGTTAGAGTGTCCGCCCGGAGAGCGGAAGGTCGCAGGTTCGATCCCCAACCGCATCATACCAAAAGACATTAAAATATGGTACTTGTTGGTTCCTGTCTGGTGCTCGGCATTAATGGGTACAACTGGGACTGGTCGGCTCGGAGTCAGTATAATGTGTCTGAGTGAGGTATTCATGCTTCACTGCGGCATTGTATCTCAGTGGGCTAGCACAATAAAACCAGCTTAAGTCTGGGCTAGTACAAACAGCCGCACATACACAGACACATACACACGCATGCACGTCGTCATATGAGCGAAATATTCTCAAGCATGACGTTAAACCCAATTTCACCTCACCTCACCCATGACTGTTCCAAGTCTCCATGACTTTTTCCAAACTTTGATTGAACAATAAACTGATCATATTACCAGTCAGGAAGCAGCCTTTTCATGTTTTACGGCACTAGTTTCAAGCTGTCTCCGTTCCAGACCATGTTCTGAAAAGTATTTATCCAAAATGTGATAAGAAAAATTCTG